GTGGTCACAAGTGCTTCAATCACTATTTTGACTTCTTTATCCCCCATTATAGATAGTCATTTATATAGTACATCTGAGTACTGTAGGTTTTCAACAGATTTCTTATAAAAAAGTAATTAGTCAATCAATTCCACATATATCAATATGGATGTAATATAAGCAAAGGCAGAATCATACATAATTACACTTAACATTCACAATAAAATAAATAAATCACATAGTATTCTCTATTTAATTTGCTATACTTAAATTTTAAATATCTTGCTGAAAGATTAATATCAATTCAAGCACTTTCTAGGAAAGGTATATAAAGAAATCAGATTAGTATTATATACAGAGTTTAGCTTTATCCTCACATGAAGAAATTATTAACTATAAAAAAATTAAGGTATTTTTATTGTGCTTACCTTTCTCGTAATTTTTCTAAGTAATACAATTTAAAACATTTATTATATTACCATCCCAAATCTGTGTCTCAGCTACAGTGACTGAAATGAAATCTTTTGCTGTATATAGTTGCTGGAACTCAATCTATTAATAAATATTAAAAGGAATGTACAGTAGTGATGAATGGGCTATGCAAACAGTCTGGTGTGTTCCCTATTGTGGGCGTGCTCACTCTCTTATAATCCCTTCCTCTTCAATTTTTCCTCCTCAAGGAGAGGGGGGACAAATTATTTCTGTAGGCAATCTTTCTTGTGCCTAAGCCATTTTTTTTCTTACATTTTCCCTCACAAAGCAGAGAGAATGGAGAAGAATGGATTATAAGAGAAAAAGTTAAACACACAGTGAGGAATATACTGAGTGGTTTGCACAATGTGCTTGTGGCTCCCAGTGCCTGAGCATGCTCAGAGCTGCTGATACCACCACATCCCTTTCACCACTCACCACTGTGTGCCTGCCTACTCTATTGTAATCCCTTCCTTTCAACCTCCCATTTAGGTTTGTAAAAGAAAAGGAAAAAAAGGTTGAGGACAGGAACAGACATACTGATTGCAATGGCAATCACATCACTGAGGGATGCTGTGAAAGTTATAAATACAGGCTCAGTCAAAGTTATTTTTTCAGCATCACTGTAATTTCGAACCTACCCCAATGATGTTCAGGAAACTATTCAGACTTTGGGGCAAAGGGTAAGTTGGATGGACTTTCTGTGGTTTAATGTGTTTCTGGGGCCATTTGCAAATCTTTTTTTTGTTAAAAACTTTTTCTTTTAATTATTTCTAATTGGGAATTGCATGGCCTATAAATTATATAAATGCAAAAAAACAAAAAAAACCCACAATACTAATCAAAATCAAAACAAAGGATCCAGTTGCTCAATACAGTGAAAAGTATATTGACAGACTAAAATCTTATTTTAAATTGCATTTTATTTTTTTTCTCCAAATGGACAAATCTTATCACACATGGATTCTCTATAGAGGTAAAATAGAACAGAGTACTTTTAAGTACTCCAGAATCTACCAGAGAAAATAAAAAGTGGGGAATGGGGTTAATAGCCAGGAATTCTAAAAATCGGGCCATGGTAGTTTCAGTCTGAGTGCTATAATGTTACTTTTCTTCTCTTGATGAGAAGGTATTATATAGCCTGAGTTCAGGGAACTTCTCCATTATTTACTGATCACTTCATGGCCAGACCTTATTTGTATAAAAGACATAACTAAATGACCTGGATATCTCTAAATTTGCTTTTAGATTCCTAAACAGCACATAAGAGCATAATAAGTTCAAGAATTTCCACACAACTAAAAAACAGGTATCCAGGTTAAACCATTCAAGTATCCATTAAGAATCTGACAGGTTATAGAGTCAGTGGTGAAATCTGAAGCTGACCTGAAAGATTGTTTTACAAATGAAGGCAAATTTAATATTTTAACTATGCTGAAATCATTAGAATTTTGGGAAATAATTTCAATGGCAAAATTAGATAAAAAGTAAATAATACATATAAATGTATGTTCAATTCTACATTGGAATTATCTGGAAATTCATTTTTTCAAAAAATGTAAATCATATGAGTGAAAAGAGACAGAGAAGCATCCCTCTTCCTTCACAGCAGGAAAGATTGCTTTTAGGCAGTTATGACCTTCTATTTACTCTTCCAAAATTCAGGAATGCATAATCAAATGTACAAAACAAGATTTGCCACTGATTTATTGCATGAAAATTTAAATCTCTGCAATGCATAGGAAGTTTTCAATTAACAAAAACAAATCCCACAATTAATAATTACCAAGGCAAAAAAAAAAAAAAACCACAAGGCCCTAAAACAGCAAGTTTTAAGATCTTTTCTTATTCTCAGTAGTCCAATTTGGATAAAACAATAAAGTCTAGTCAGTTTTAAACCTCTGAATTTAAGAATCACATTCTTAAACTTATGGTTTAAGTTTAACTAAGCCAGCTCAGAATAGAAAGACACAATAGTAAAGTCACATGACCATGGAATAAATACAGATGTTGCTCAATTGGTATGGCAACAGGTATCAACGAGTATACTGCTGATCTACCAACAGCCTAATATTTGGGCAGATAAAAAAATCCTAACATTTCTCTTTCTGCAAGTGAATCTGAGACTATTAAACTGATTTCTGAAGATCTGCAGCAATGCAAAAAGCCAAAACTATGCACCTATATTTCAGTTAAAAAAAATCCAGTCATACAAATGAAATTTATGATTTTCCAAAGTCTATGCACTGCAATAATTAGATAATAGTAGTTTCATTATTTGTTTTAGAACACAATTTATAATTTGTAAGCTACCTACCTAGTTTTTATATAAAACAGAGAAGCTTTCACTACAAATTGCAAGAATAATCATGCAATGGGTAAAACTCAAATTTATATTCACATACGTGTTTGTAAAAAGTGCAGATGTCAGCAGTATCATTTTAAAAGGAAATAAAACTAAACATAAATCATTGCAATGATTCATGTCATTTTATTTGCCTTTAATTAAATGTCATGCTGCAAACTGCTGGATCAAGAATGTGCCCATTTACCTATGTTACTCTTATGAACTCTACTGGTTGTCATTTTCTTCTATTTTTTATGTATAGATGAAATACTTTTGTAGCCAAAACATCCACATGAAACAGATTGATGAAGATCCAAGATTTGCAGAAGTATACAAAATATATACTGTAGGCAAAAAAATTGTTAGAATTTCCCCTTTGAAAGGGTTATTCAATTTCACATACATTTTAACAACCACAGTTCTTGTCCTATTGAATAAAAGAAATAAGAGTAATTTTCTAAAAATAAAATACTTAAGAAGGTAAGATAATCTGTACTTACAAAAAAGGAAAATATCAGTTTAAAGCATTAAAATTACAGCAAGTGAAATCTTGTTCGTAAAAATGAACTAATAACTGTTTTCACAAACACATACCGGTAAATCTGTTAACAAAAAGCAATCCTACAGAAAGCCTGAAACTGTAAAATAAAAAAGGAAACCATTCGAATGAACTATGTTCATTAGTAGGTACTATTTAGGCATCTTATAAAACTGTTTCTAGATAATTGTACTTTTAAAGATGGGATTACCTTGTTTAGAAAAACAAGTTTATTTATTTATTTAGAAAATTTATTTGCCACCCATCTTTACTGAATAAAGCACAATTATATGAATGCATTCAATTATATTGTAAATCAATGTGTTAAATGAACCTAACTATAGAATAGTTTCACTGATAATGTAACAGTGAATTTTGGCTGATGTAGTCTCATGTTCTATCAATATTAATTCTGCCTCATTTTAAGTGATATTTTTGAAGTTAAGTAACTCTTGAGTTCCCTAAATAAATAAGGAAGTGACATTCCAATACTATTAAAGGCTGATAAGGAACAAGCATTGTCATTTCAGGTTAAGTACAGAAACTGGCATCAGTTCTTTCTCTAAGACATCCAAGGAGAGAGTAATCTTTTTTAATACCGGCATTTGAGAATATCTCGGCTGGGCCCAACTCACAGAAAGAATACAAGACTAAACCCAAGAGACGTAACTTTTTTCAAAGAGGAATCCATGCCTAGCTAACCCTGTTGACAGGCGCAGGAAGTTCACTGTTTCCCGATACAAAACAATCGCGCTCCATCACGAAACTCGGGAAAAGAAACGCAACACACACGCGTCCTTTTTTCTTTTTCTTTTATAGACGGGCTTTCGACTTCCTTCTCCTTTCGAAAAATGTCGCTCACGAGAACGTTTGGTTCCAGCGCCAGAATGAAACCCCAAAAAAAGAAAAGGAAAAAAAGCGAGGGATCGAGACCGACGGTCCCTCGATCCGGAGAAAGGTGCGGGTGTTGGACGGTGCGGGTGTGTGGAAAACGATGTTATCTGGTTCGCCGAGAGGAAAGCAGAACGCGCGACACGCCGATCCGGGACTCAAAGGTGCAACGGAGAGCCGAGGAGGCGCTCCCATCTCCCTCTGTATGGAGACATTTTGCGAGCGCTTTGAGGCGACCGTCCTCTGGCTGTAGAACTGAGGGGACTTGTCCCCCGCTTCGTGCGGGGGCTCCTCCGAGGGAGCCCCAGGGAAGAGGGGGCAAAGACTGTCGCAAAAGGGAAAGAGCTCTCCAAGACTGGCCCGTCTCCGTCGGGTTCCCTGCCGCCCTCCTGCGGCCAGGCGCCCCGAGCCAAAGCCAAGTCAGGCGCCGCTACCGCCTCGACGCGAGGGCTCCGGGATGCCTGAACTCCCCCACGGCCTCCACCGAGGCTCAACGGCCCCAACCGACGGCACCTTAACGAGCAACCAGAGGGAGGGAGGGAAGAAAGAAAGCAAGCGAGGCAGAGAAAGAAATGGACCCCCGTCCTGCCGCTCTCGTTCCCTCGCGACTAAAGATGCCCGGGCTCCGCCGACTACCTTCCCCAACATGGCCGCGAATCCCCCTCCGACGGGGAAACTTTCCTGAGGTTCGCCGCCCCTCCGTCAGCCTCTCCCATCATCTGACTCGCTTCCCGACGGACCTCCCGACCCCTGCCGCCCAAGTGCGCCGCTTACTGAGAAACCGAAGCCCGCCTTCCCCAGGTCAGCGGCTGGCCGCTCTCTCTCTCTCTTCGAGCTTCCTCCGCCGCCGCTGGGACTAATCTGCTACCGACGCCCCGCCTGCCGAGGCGCGAACACACCCAAACCGGCCTCCCCAGTGCGGGGAGGAGTCCCAGCTTCGACCACAGCCGCCCGCCCGCTCCATTCCCGGAGGAAACTGAGAGGCGGAGCCAACGCCATCTTGGGAGAATCGGCGGACGTAGCGGATTGGTCGCTTGAAGGGAAAGAGGCGGCGCCAGCCTATGGCGGTTAACCCTCAAAAGCGAGGGGGCGGGCTTTTCGTTTTTAACGGCTGCGAAGGTCAGGGAGGGGGGGCCTGGCAGGGATTCTTTTGCGTGGTTTTGAGGAGCTGTGTGCGCGTTGGGCCCTCCTCTCCACTCTTAGCTCGCGGGCCCTGGAAGCGTTGGGTTAAGTATAAACTTTTAAGAAAAATTGCGCAACCTATGTGGAAGGGCAAGCCAACCTTGGATTAATCATTACGCAAAACAGGCGCGTGCTTAGGGCACTAGGGAAGGGGGGCATCCCAGAGTTTTCTCCGTAGCTGTCATGCCCTCCTTCCCCTTTTCACTGCCATACTCAACTTCATTCTTTTTTTTTTTTTTTTTTTTTGGTTTGGCTTCAGTTTGAAAAAAAAATTTTTTTCTTCGAATGGGAAGTGACTGAAATTTAAAGTTTGAAGTTGTGGGCCAATATTCAACTTACTTTCTTCTCACAGCGAGAGTCTTGCGGTGAGCGCAAACTTTTTGCTATGAGGAGTAACTTCCACTTTTAAAAACCATGGAGGACCTCAAAAGAACTTTTGTTTATATGGATTGTTTATCGATCTTTACCGTGCCATAACTTAAAATTGATGTACTCATACAATATTAATGTATTGAATCGTGTAAAAATAACAATATGAAACCTATTCGATGATAACATAAATGTTTTTTTCATGAAAATAATCTATACAATATTTTTTTTAAATAAAAAATGAGTTTGTTTTAAATGTTTGCAAATCTCAATAACTAGCAAATTTTGATTTCATGAAACCCGAGAGGATCTTAGAGACCCCAAGGGTCCTCAGACTACACTTTAAGAAACACTGATTTAGAACTCCATTTGGCTTTAATTAGCCCTGGAGTAAACCAGGAAGGTTTCATGGCTTAAATAGGGATCTATGTTGATGGGGGGGAAGAGTCTGTTTATGAGCTTTCAGAGCAAAAGTAGGATGCAAGCAACCTCTCCCTTTATCTGAACAGCCAACAAAGCTTTGAAAAGTATAGTTGGAGCAGATAGTGCAAGGCAGTCCACTATGGCTGGGCTCAGATGCATTCAGGACTGCAGATTTATGCAGATTTATTATCGCAGCATCTCTTGAGTTGCTCTTTACTTACAGACAATGTAAGATGGGTGTCAAACTCAATTTCATTGAGGGGCGCATCAGCACTGCGGTTGCCCTCTGGGCTGGGTGGGTGTGGCCAGAGTGGGTGCGGCCTACTGGGTGGGTGTGGATGGAGTGGGTGTGGCCTACTTGGTAGGTGTGGCCAGCTCTACATTGTTCACATCAAGGGTGCCGGTGGGGGCCTGGGCAGGAGTGGGACAGATCTGAGGGTCTCTGGCAGAAGGGGGTGGGACCAGGGCAAGTGCCAAGGCATGGTCCACTGGAGGAGCCTCACTGTTCCTCTCAGGCCATGCGGGTGGGCTGGATGATGGTGCCGGAGCCCTGGGCAGCAGAGGTCAAATGCCCAGCCTAGCCCTTGAGCATCCGTGGCACCAAGCCCAGCCCCACTTCAAGGCTGCTCAAGGTTCTCCTGGTTCCTCGCTGTTTCCAGACAGCCTTGTGGAGCTAAGACTGAATGCGTTTCAGCATAGATGGCCACCACAAAATTGTACATTGGCTCCCGGCTGGCCTGGGCCAGGGCCAAGGCAGAAGGGGCCATTCCCTCACTGTTTCCAGGATGGCTTCATGGGCCACATGAAACCACTTTGCAGGCCGCATCCGGCCCCCGGGCCTTGTGTTTGACATGTCTGATGTAAGAGAACTGCCAGTCTGCTTTATGTAAACTTGAACTAAATTTGTTGCAAGGTTGAGTTAGAAATGACCTGCGTGTGTGTATGTGGAACTGTGACTTAAAGGAAAATCAGCAATTATTAATATATATATTTTTATCCTTTCCAATTTTAAAGATAAATGGTTATGACAAAATCTGTTTTTGGAAAAGAAGGCTTGTCTTGAGTGCAAAGTGAAGGATAAAACAAGGAACATACAAGTGAAGCTCTACTTCTCCTGTAACCTAACTTTCACGTGCAAGATAATGCTGGGCTCAGCACCATGACAACCAAGATGCTTTTCCCTTTGAATGCTTTGCATGCACATAGGCATCTTGCCAGAAAGGTTATTTTGGTTGGGTTGGCTTAGTAGAGCGCCTACTAAGTTTAAATAGTGTACATACCAAAAGCAATCAAATCATCTTTTTAAAAAATTGTAACAGTATCATTCAAATGTTGTCACAAAGTATAAAAAAGAAAGAGGAGCCAGAATCAAGTCAGGAAACTTGTGTAAACAGTTCAATTATAAGCTTGCTGGAAAACATGTTGCAGTTTTAAAACGTTAACTTTTTACTGCCCACTAAAAGAAACCTGCAACCATACCTAAACGGTGTATGTATGTGTGTGTGTGCGTGTGTGTGTGTGTGTGTGTATATATATATATATATACACACACACACACACACACACCTACTCTGTGTGTGTGTGTGTGTGTGTTTACATACCTGTAAATAAGACCCACTTAAGGATATGCAGTTTCTTCTTTCAGTAAAAGTATTGGTTTTTTTATTATCGGAAAGCAATAATTTCATTGTCCAGGCTCAACTTGGTATTGTGTCGAATTCTAGGCAACGCTTGTTTCAGAAATATTAGAATAAATTCAAGAAAGGACAGCAAGGATGATCAGGGAAATGGAAATGAAAAGAGAGACTGGATAGATTTAATATTAAAAACAGGTAGTTGAAAAAGAATACAATAGTATAACACAGAAGGGAGCCATGATCTGTTCTTTATCACAGAGTGCAATAAATGAGATAATGGACTTAAGTTACCAGAAAGGCAGATCTTGATTCTCTAGTAAAGTAAAAAATACTAGCAGTTTGATAATCTAATTATCAAGGGACATTACAAACAATCCTTTGCTCAATGTATTTAAGCAGATGCTAGAAAGTTATCTAAGATGCTTTAATTTGGATCCTAATACAAAGAGTTGAATTTCATACCATAAACCATGACTGACCAATTGTTTGGCTTGCCTGGGCCACACTGAGTGAAGAAGAAATGTCTTGGGCTGCACATAAAATATATAATATAATTAATGTACATAAAATCACATAAGTTTACAATCTTGTGGGACCACATTACCAGCTGTCTAGGGCCACCTGCATCTCAGTGGCCACAGGTTGGACATGCATACGATAACCATGTCCTGCTCTATGGTTCAATGGATAAAGAATATCTCTGAATAGTTTGTAGATTTGAGTTTTATTTAAAATGTTACACTGGGACCAGAAGACCTCGGCACAATCTTCAATCAAGGAGCTCACTGGCCCACTACTTGGGCCAAGCAACCTTTATTGGGGTAATTCTGAAATTAAAACAACAAAAGACTTTATAAGCTCCCCAAAGAATGACACAATATAAATGTAATAAGTATATCACTGGAAGATGAAGAAACAGAAGATGGAAAAAGTAGAGAATACTGAAAGATAACAAGGACCAATACGAAAACCTTTAGTAGAAATATCAGTATTTTTTTTCTTTTAGTAAAGAGAAACTACTAGATAACAGAGATTAAGGAAGGAGCAATCATCACAAAGCATATATACTGCAATCAGTATTTGAATGAATATATACAGTACAATCAGAATATGTTGTAAGTATCTTCCTAGTCATTAGTGAGTAACTCCATAATTGCTATATTTGCTATGAGGAAGAAAATGAGAAATGTTTTTACCATGTCAAGAAGAAAAGTATTAATACACAAGCACTTGTGCTAGCATATGCACACGTTTATAAAAGCAGGATAAAACTGCTAGAAAAGTATATGAAAATATGTCTTAATTTTCCAAAACCCCAAGTAGGTAATAACAGTTTCTTGCAGTGAGAATTCCTTGTCATTCAATCTTAATTTATTTAAGGCATGTGTTGTTTTGTTAAGTGAGCTCCACCCAGATTGAGAGTATCCACAGAGAGAAGCAAAAGGAAGTGAACAAAAAGGAGAAAATAATTTCTCTGCTGAATAGTGCAGGAGAGATTGGACACCCATTTGTCTGAAATGGTATATAGGGTCTCCAGCTTGAGCAGTGGGTTGGACTAAAAGATCTCCAAGATCCCTTCCAATTTTGTTATTTTGAGTATAAAAATGAAGAGCAGGTTTTGGGCATTTCCCAAATTATATAGTTATAGATACTATCTTGAAGAAATATTCACGTCAGTAAATAATAAAACCAAATGTTGCTGTTCTGATTAATGAAAAATACTGCAGGTTAAGTAGCAAAACTAAAATTATGGGCCCTGGTGCTCTCTGAGCTTGATGGTTTTTGGCAGATGTTTCATTGTCAAATTAAAACGTAATTACAAAATAAAATTACTTTGTAATTTTTATTTAATAAAAATATCTTTAGTGCCAAATCACCATATTTACTTCATTTTTGACTCAATGTATGAAAATACCTCAGTATTATGCTCCTCTGGCTAATAATCTAGTCCTCATTCTGCATGTATGACAATTTGAATCTTAAAACCATGGCAGCTACAAGTCATGCAGCTTAAATTCTGGAAAGTTGCACGGTAATAATACTCCCTTGCTCTGATTATTTTTAATGTTCATTTGTTTTCATTTATTAGGAAGATGAGTATTACTGTTTATGTCACTAAACTGGCATTGTCAGACCAAGATAAATGGCTGACGGCTTTTCCCCACAGCTGTGTTAGTCCACCAGTCCTTGACTGGGAGAAAACTTATACCAGCATAATATTTGTTGTCTCCACTCCTGATCCTTCTGCTGCTGTTACTGTAGTCCTCCGTTTATGACTGATCACTTAGTGACCAAACTTATAACAAATCTCCCCAGTTATTTTCAACCCAATTTCAAAGTTCCAACAGCCACTGCCCCTCTGGGATCGCATGATTGCCTTTTGAATGCTTG